ACCTCTCCAGCAAGGGCAGCGGGGCTGTGGGGCCTTGGCCATGCTGGGGATCTGCCCATGGCAGGAGCTGGTGCTGGCAGGAGGCAGTGAGGAGCAGATGGTCTTCCCCCAGTGGGATGGCCCACGGCATTGCCAGGGCTGGGACACTGCCAGGGCCTCAGGCATCCCCTGGGCATGGCAATGCCCAATGCTCTGGTGCTTCCAAGAACTTTCTGCACATGGGGACCATGCCTGATAGCATGGTACCCCCTGGCCCCATGCCCTCCCTGCTGTCCCCTGCAGTGCCACTGACCTGTCCCGGCTTCTCTCTCCCCGCGTTCCCGCAGGCCTGGGATCCGGCAGCACAGTGGGCAGGGGAAGACTGGGTTCTCCGAGGCCGTGCCAGCGTCACAGCACGGTGTCCACTGCGGCACGGCAGCGGCCCTGAGGGACGGCGGGACGTGAGCAGGGCCGAGCAGGGAGGAGGCGGGCGACGGTTCCCGGACGCTCTGCCGGTGCCAGGAATCTGTTGCTGGCTCCGCAAACCCAGAGCTCGTCACAGTCTCCTGGCTCGGCTGCGGGACTCGGGGAAGCAGGGAAGCGGCAGGGGAAGCTCCCTCCCCTTTCCCAGGGAAAGGAAGGAGAGACAGGGAACCCGCCTGTCTGCAGTCCTCGGCATGGGGGAAACTGAGGCACAGGGTGGCAGCGTGAGGGAAAGGGGGGCTGTGAGGGTGGTCTGGCACTGCTGGGCTGGGACAGGGGTGGTATGCTGGCACAGGGCCTGGCAGTGCAGGAGGGCAGCCCTGCTCAGGGAGGGGGTATTGCCACTGCAACGGGGGCACGCCGGCAGGGGTGAAATGGATAAAGGGATGCCCCAGCCGTGCCTGGGCATCCCTCATCCGCAGCTCTGGCTGCCCCTGGACATGCCATGGGGTGCCTCCATGTGAGGGCAGAGGGTGGCTTGACAGAACCTCAGGGGTCTCTGGGCTGGTGGGGAGGAGGATGGCACCGGCACTTGGGAAAGGGTCTGGGTCCCAGCAGCTGCTTCCCAGCACCAGCACATGTGTGCCGGCAGCACCCTGCACAAAGGCGGCTCTGAGGCACTCCAGAGCCAGGCCTGGCACCAGCACATCCCCAACAGGGCTGCCGGCTGTGGGCAGCTGGAACCACATGGGGATGGAGCTGGCTGGCCATGGGCAGCCCCGACCACCCTGCCAGGCACCCACACCCTTCAGCACCTCTACCAGAGCAGGCACCCAGCTTGTCCTTGGGTGGGGTGATGGTGTCCCCTGTGGGTGCCACCCTAGCACAGAACGGGTGGGACTTTCTGATGACACCCTCCAGGTGGCCACCAGGACTTTGTGGGCATATGCCCTGCCCAACAGCAAGGGTCCTGTGGGCCACGGTGCCACGGCCGTGCTTGGCGTGCGGGTGTCACAGAGGCCCTCGCCAGCCTCCTGCCCCACGCAGCTCCCTATTGTCTGGCCTCATTAGCTGCTGCCTGCTTGCGGCTTTGAACATGAGCAGGGCTCCAGCGGCAGGAAGGAGCCTCTGCTGCCCGGCGATGGGGTCGAGGCAAAACCGCACACCTCGGGCCTCTTCCCACCGCCTCCCAGGCACCCCAGCAGCCATGAGCCAAGAGCCAGGAAGGCGCAAGGGGCACTCCCTCTTGCCAAAAGGAGCCCCCCTCGACCGACCCAGGGTGCAGAGAGCCATCAGCTTCCCCAAAGCTTTGAGCCGATCGCGGCTTGCACCGTGACTAATCCCCCCCAGCCTCGCACACACGCGGCAGGGTGGGGGGGGGGGGAGTGGGGGGGGCTGTCGTAATGGGTGGAAATATCTCATAATTCACGTTGGACACGGGGATTACAGCCGTTCCAGCAATATTTGCACAACTGGTAGGCGGCTTGCAGCACTGGGCTGCCCCAGACAAAAGCCAGGGGGGTCTGGGGATGGAGGGGGTTTTGGGGGTGGCAGGTACAGGGATGGGGATGCAGTTTGGGGGAGTGACGGAGGATGTGGAAAGTGGCTGTTTTCTGTCTGCAAACACATGGACTTTATTATGGAGGGTGCATTGCTGGCATGACGGGGATGGTTGGGGCTCTTGTCTTCATCCTGCGCTGCTGCAGCAGGCAGAGCTCAGGGAGCAGGATGGAGACCCCAAAACAGCCTTGTCTGCCATTCCATGCAGATCCTGGCTTTGTCCTGGAGTACCGTACCTGCTTCTAGCACCCGTCAACTCCATAGAGCTCCCTGCTTATAGGAGCACCCAAATGTGCTGGTATTCCCTTGGCCCCAAATGTCTCCTCCTCCCCTTGCTGTGGGGCAACCCCAGCAGGGGGAAGGTGGGGGGCATGCAGGGCATGGAGGGCTGTGTTTGGCATGGGGATTAGCAAACTCCCAGAGTGATGGTGGTCTCCCCCCTCCCCACCGGACATGCAGGCAAATATTTGTGCCCAGACTTCGCAGGACAGCGAGAAGGAATTTCATTCTTGCGCCCACCTGCGGCTCGGCCGCCTGGCATTAACCCATTCACCACCCCGCGGGATGGAGGCAGAGGGATGAGGTGCCCTCCCGGCACCCCCTGTGACCCTCACTGGGGTGGGGAGCTCAGCTGAGGAGCAGGATAGGAGAAGGTGACACAATGGGGTCACCCCAAACTCCAGCAGTCACTGGCACAAGCTGAAAGGGAGCAGATGCAGGGTTCGCCCATGGGCATCCTCTGGACAGTACCCAGGGCTTTGTGCTGGGTGTTGGGCAGCGTGTAGCCTGCTGGGAATTAGGAAAGATGGGGAAAACCCTGCCAGCCTTCACCCCGTGAGCTGCAGCACCCCGGCCAAGGTGGCCTTTGCAAGCCCATATGCCCAGCAGCACCATGGGACGGGCTGGCAGGGAGCAGAGCGTGATGCGGAGGGCATGGGGAGCGGGATCTGACCACGGATGTTTATTGGCAATATGCAAACGTGAAATGGCCCGGAGGGGTCAGGAGACACCCAGCCCCCGGAGCTTCCCGCACCCAGGGAGCGGACCGGCAGGGGTAGAGGGTCCCCCGCTGCCTGGCTCCCCCACAACCCTGCTGTGCTCTTTTCCCTGGTCCCGGGGACAGCTGTGCCCTGAGCAAACGGGGCTGTTTGCTCACGCCGGGATTAGCTGCTTGCTTTGTTCCTTTGACTTTCTCTTCCCTTTATGCCGGACCCTTTTATGGGGGCTTCAAAGGGGGCTGAGAGACCCCCCCCCCCCGTCCCTGGAAGCCCAGGTTTGCTTCCCATGACACCCCCCCCCCCGCCTTGCACTGACATCCCTGAGGGTGCCCACCGAGCACATCTGGGTGGCCTGTGGGTCAGCAGCTGTGCCACACGTCGCTCCGCCCCCCCCCCTTCTGCTTGGCACCTCCGGCTACCGTCAGCACCTTGGCGAAGTGGGTGCAAACAGCCGCCCCCCCGCAGTGGGATTCCCGGCACTTTGCACCCTGTAAGGAGAGGTGGGAAACTTGGCACCAGGATCTGGCCAGCTGCACAGCCCCGCAGCCCCCCCAGCTTCCTGCCCCCTGCCAGATACCTGCTCACCTCTGCCAGAGCCTCCATGCCACACCGAGCTCTCTGACCCTCACTCACTATCCCCACTCCCCTTCCCTCCACAGCATGCAGCATCTCTGGATTTTGCTGTGGGAAACAAAGTGGACCAGCAGCAGGGGCTCCTCCCACATCCCCTTCTGTCTGCCTGCTGTGGTCAGCAAACACTGGCAATGCCCTTCTCAGCAGAGGAATACCAGGTTGCCCACAGGAACAGGCTCCTGCTGCCCACCAGCTTCTGGCATGACTGAAAAAGAGCATTTTGAAGTAAAGGGGCTGCTGAAGGCAGTTTAATTGCCTTGGTGCCCACTGGTGTCCAGCAGACTTCCAGTTTACAGCAGCTGTCTGGTTTCCCTCGATGAATTCATTTGCCTAGTGATGAGGACAAGTAGGGAGTGCAGTGCACTGCAGCCCTCCAGCCTGGCATCATCAATGGCTTTGTGCCCTGGGAGGGATACGGACCTGTGCATGGCAGGGACTGACACGGGGCCAGTGGCAGGAGCAAGGCCAGCACTGTTGGAGGGGCTGAGGGTGCTGTCAGGCGTGTTTGCAGCTTGTCACGTCCGCAGAGACGAGGCATGGCTGAGCAGGGGAAGCCTGGCCGCGTTTGACCCTGGTGCTCATGGCTCCTGCCAGCCGTGCCCCACATGAGCCAGGCTGCCAGCCTCATCCCTGGAGACACAGCACCTGCTGGACCCCCGTCTGGGCACCCCGTGACCTGCAAGGTGGGCTGTGGGGGCTGAGCAGGGCATGGGGCATGCGGAGTGGGGCTGAGGTGTTTACTCCAACTGTTGTCACCCAGCCAGGCGCTGCCGGGAACGGCTGGCCACAGGGACAGGGGTGGGAGCGTGCGAGAGCAGCGGTGTGAGAAGGAAGCACAAGGCTGCAGGGAGACTGGGAGCTAGAGGACATCAGCTGGAGGGGTCCTCCGCCAAAGGGAAGCATGTGGAGGGCTGCCCGGCTCCCAGAGTTATCTGTGCATGCATCCTGACATGTGCCGCAGGAAGTGTGTGTGCACATGGGGGGTGTTTATACGTGTGCTATTTGGGCACACACATGCATGTATACACAGGTATGGGTGTGTGCATCCCCCACCCCAGCAGCCAGGGTGCTCTAGGGCAGGGGCTGGGCTTGCCAGGGGGGATGTGACAGCCATGCCAGGGCCTGGTGCTGGACAGACCCCCAGTGCTTCTCTTACACAGGAAAGGGGTATCTGTGGGTACTTCACCCATCCACAACCAGTACGTCTGGTGAAACAGCCCCAGGGACCACGTGCCAGACAAACCCCTGGACTCCATCACCTTCCCTGGCTCGGAGGGGTCCCCATGCACCACAGCCACACCACAGATCTCCAGGATCCTGAGTCACCCCTAGGTGCTGGATGCAGGGAACAGAGCCCACCTCTGGCCAAGGTTCACTGGGGGTGGGTTCCACCTCGGGGGGAGGATCACCAGGGTTGGGTTCCACCTCTGGGTGAGGATCACCAGGGTTGGGGCTCACCCCTGGATAAAGTTGACCAGGGATGAGGTCTGCCTCTGGGTGAGGGTTGCTGGGGTTGGACCCCATCTCCAGGTAAGGGTCTTTGGTAGCCCTTATGCCTGGCTGCCAAAGCCAGGAGCAGGAACCTGTCAGGGGTGATGATCCCCGGGTCACCCAGCTCAGTGTCACCCATGCCATCCGTTCTGCAGGTATCAGGGCCACCTTCACCCCCTGGCCAGGCACAGCTGAGGTGTTGACCACTGGAGTGCCAGCAGCCAAGTGCTCAGGCCAGGGGCCAGGTGAGCAGCCCCAGGGACGCCCTTCCCACGCCCCAGGCCAAGGGAGGAAGCGGCCGGAGGCAGGAAGCCGTCCCCCGGGCCCGGGGCCCCCGCTGCAGTTTTGCTTGAAGGTCAGCGGCGACACAACAGGAAATCGCGCTGCCTCGGCTGGGCGGCCAGGCCGGAGCCGGAGCGCCGCGCCGTGCTGTCCTGTCCCGGGGGCAATCCCGGCCCCCGGCCCTCCATTCCCGCTGGGCAGCTCGCGGGGAGCCCGCGCCACCACCGCCCTCCATGGAAGGGGGACGGGAGGCAGGGAGCAGCCGCTGGCCCCAGGGTGGAAGATGCAGGGCCGAAGCCCCCAGCTGAGCATGGAGCTGAACAGTGAGTGCGCAGCCAAAAGGGGGGACGGGAGCGAGCAGGAAGGGGCATTGCTTTGGCAGCAGACACCACGGCTGTACAACCCAAGCATCCGCTGCATGGGTACCCCAAGAGATGAGCCCCACAGGTGGGCAGCAAGCCTCCAGTGTGGCTCTGGTTTGGTTGGACCTGGCTCCTACCAGTGCTCATGGGCAGGCGAGCATCTCTCCATGCCTGCCCTAGGAAACAGACTGTGCAAAGGCCTTCTGGGGACAGGTGTAGTGCTAAGGCAGGTGGATGCACACAGGGTGTTTGGAGAGGAGATGCCTAGTGCCAGCATGCTGCAGCTGCCCGGCCAAGAAACATCCTTGGCAGCAGCATGCCAGCAGTGCTGGGCAAGGCAAGCTCTTGGCCAGAGCAGCGGTGAGCAGCTGTACACTGCAGGATGCTGCAGGCAGGGATTCCCCATAGTGCATGTGACACCCAGAGCTGCTCCTGGCATAGATCCGGAGAGCTGGCCCTGGCTGCACAGGGAGCGTGGCTCTGCTCCCCACTAGCAGCCCAGCCCAGAGCGGAGCTGAAAAACCTGGTACAGATGTGGCTGTGCGGCCCTCGGCACACACCACCAGCACAGAAACACTGGCTCTTCCTGGCACCTGTGCTGACAGGGGTGCAGCACCTCACGTCCTCCCTCAGCCCCCCTACACCTCTCCCTGCACCCCCATCATTGGCCCAATAAAGCCACCAACAGGCTGGGGTGAGGGTTGCCACTGCAGGCATGGCCCCAGGGCTGGACCTGAACAGGGAGGATGGCATGGTGCCCAAGGTAACCCAGTCTCTCCCAGGACTGCTCCTCCTCACATCCTTTCTCCTGCACATGGAAGAGGGCCATGCCAGCTCAACACGGCTGGTCTGCGACAACAGACTCATACAGAAGTACATTGGGGAGGCCAAGGACATGGAGAAGAAAGTGGTGAGGATACAGTCTCCCTTGAACCCAAGATGAGTGGTGGGCACAGCTCCTGGTATCTCACCTCAGCATCTCCTGTTCCCCACAGGGCGAGTGCCAGGTGCTGCCTGCACTCAGCTGTCCCGCAGTGCTGCCCTTGGTGGACTTCAGCCTCCAGCAGTGGAAATCCAAATCGGTGAGAGGGGCTGGGAGGATGGTGCTGGCACTGCGGTGCTCACGGGGCTGAAGAAGGAAACTCTGGTTTGGCAGAGGCACCATAAGTGCCAAACAAGATGCCTGTGAGCACACCTGGTAGTACAGGGGGATGGAGAACCCCCTTCCAGACCTAGGGTGGGCATAGGAATGAGCCAGGCCTGAGGTCAGCCTACTTGCTGCCTGCTCCCACAGAACGAGACCAAGCGGCGGGAGATCCTGTGTGACATGGCACTGCTGGTGGGAGCTGTGGTGGGTGCTCAGGGCCAGGTGAACGAGCCGTGCGGGGCCAGGCAGCTGAGCCAGCTTTACCAACACGCCAACTCCTTCCTCCTGCTCCTGCAGACCTTCAGCTGGGAGGTGAGGCCTCCCACCTTGAGCCAGAATACCCTGGGGCAGTGTTGGCTGCACTGCACTGGGTATGGCAGCATTGTCATCTCTTGTCACACTCTCAACCCTCAGGCAGGACCCTGGGAGCCAGGCTGCTCCCCACGCTCCATGGAGCAGACCCACATCACTGGCATCTTCCTCACTTACCGACAGCTGGTGCAGGGCAAGCTGCGCTTCTTCTTCCACGACCTGGCAAAGGACTTGTGCAAGCAAGGCCAGGCAGGTGGCACAGACCCTCGGTGCAGGGCCCGATGAGGCTGTGCATAGGGCTCACAGCCAGATGCCCAGCTGTGCTCTGGGTACCCAGGAAGGTGCCCACAGGGAAAGGGTCAGCTGTTGTTTAAGCCTGCTGTGCCCACGCAGCCCATGGAGACAGACAGCAGCAACACCCACGCAGTGGGCACATGCTCTGCTCCCACCCAGGCAGGCACCTCTACTGTGAATGCTTTACAATTAAAGAGCTATTTTTATAACGGGCTGTTTGTGTCCTTTCCTGCCGCCGCTGTGGCCCTGGCAGGGGCTTGCACACCCCCAAGGGCCTCACCTCAGTAAGCGGCAGCCGCTTCGGTTCTCCCCGCAGCGCCCAGCTCCCTCCCGCGGCAGCCGGCAACGCTGCAGGGCGGGCGGGCTGCGGCCGGCACCTCACCACATGCACCTGCCTGCCGGTCCCTAGCCCCAGCATGCAGCACCCGGAGAGGCGGCGCAGGACAGCCTGGGGCAAGTTTGTACTGCCCATCCTTTGGGAAAGTGGTACAGGCTCTCTCTGCTCCCCAGCACAGGCACATCCGCTCCCCAACAGCCTCATCTCAGCCAGCGCAGACAGATCTAGAAAACACATCCTAGTTTAATCAACAAGCCCATCTTGCCTCAGGATGGCTCCTTAGGAAATGGTGCCCAGCCCTGAGGCAGAGAGGTGGCTGCCCCAGTCCAGCTGCCCCTGGCCAGAGCCAGGACTGCAGAACCAGCTGGTCTCCACTCAGCCATCAGGCACCCCTCTCCTTGCAAGAGAGGGCTGCAGATCCCAAGAGTCAGAAGAAGCCAGGATTTGGGGGGGGGACTGCTCCCTCTTCCCCAGTTCCAGAAGGGCCAGACAACACAGACACGGAGGTGGGATTTGGAATCACAGGGTTCCTGTTTGCTTGCCAGCAGAACATCTTTGGGGCAGCCCACAGAAGCAGGTAATTTCCTAGAAGGCCAGCTTCTTCATCAGCAGGTAAACTCGAGAGTCCACTTCAAACCCATGCAGGTTGTTTGCATCTCCCTGCAGCCGCATGAGCAGCCCCCCATAGGACACGTAGGCAGAGCTGGGGTGGGAGAGGAGCAGTCAGAGTGAAAAATTCCACAAGAAACCTGGGCCAAGATCCCAATGCCTCCCCCACTCCACCCCTGGAGCTCCACGTTCCCCTGCTCCCACCAATAAGCACTTACAGGCGTGTGGCTGCCTCCGTGGAGGTCTCATCCCCCTCAATCCTGTACACCTTGCCGTACATCACATACTCAAACTGGTCTGCCCTGAGAAGAGTCAAATTCAGGTATTCCTCCAGCTGAGCATTCTTTGAGAGAAGGAACCTCAGCACCTCACCCCCTTGACACACCCATGTTCCCAGCTGGACCCCCATACCTGGACGGCCTGTCATCTGTGGGGTTGTACTCGCCATCATCCAGCGTGCCATCTTCATACAAGGTGCTGGCAATAACTAGGCGGAATTTGTCCCCTGGGAAGAGAGGGCAGAGGAGCAGTGAGAAGGTGAGGGTGCAGCTGCACCAGATCTCAGTGTGGTGGCAAGGAGATGTCCTGACAGGTTTAGCACAAACTCATCTCTGCCTTCAGTTCTCCAACAGGACGTGGGGAACAAGGAAAAGGTCATCCTGGATCATTTGTCTCCCTGCTCCCCACGGCCACCGGTCACCACCACAGAGAGAACAGAGCTGCTAAGGCACCACCGCTGCTGTTTTCATGGCATACAACAAGATATTCATGGGGAGAGTCCCAGAGGACTTGGCTGAACCACGGGCAGCAAGTGTGAGACCCTGCAACAGCAGCACCAGCTCTTCTGTGCTTCACTGAGGATAAGACTCTTTTCCACCTAATATATTTAGTCACAGAAGCTCATTTTTAAGGTCTCCCTCAAAGCTTTGTTGCCACCAACTGAGGCAGTTTCACTAGACAGCACCTCTGGGGACAAGCCCAAACACATTCAGTGAGGCAAACCACAACCCAGCTCAACACCAGCATGCTGAGAGTGCCCAGTACCTCGTGGAGACAAACACCGGGACCCAAGGAAGTCTGAGGCAGCTCATTCCCTGCTCATAGCTAATTTAGCCAGCCTCCTCCAAGCACCAGCACGCACCTCTAACCTCACCCACCCAAGGTGACACTGGCTCAGGCTTGGCACCCTCTGGACTAGCAACCCAATGGCTTACCAAGGTCCACAGGGTAGATCTGGATGTTCACATCTAGGATGAGGTCCATCTTGAAGGACTCGCTCTCACAGTGCAGGCGGGACACTGTGGAGAGCAGCAGTGAGGGACAAGCACAGAGAAGACCCCAGTGACTGAGTGGGAACAGGTCTCTCACCCACCCCTGGTTTGCTCCCGAGCTATTGGGGGAAAGGGATGCACAGGGGTGGGCTCGGGGATGGGTACCAGGGCCCGGAGCAGGCCTCCGGACGCACAGGCAGGGAGAACCACGGGAGCGGTACGCACCGGGGAGCCGGCCTGGGGAAGAAGCACGCACCGGCCTGCGGCAACACACGGCGGGCAAATGCCAGGGACTGTGAGGAGCCACGGCCGAGGGGCAGGGCGGAGGGGGCCCGGGGCAGGCTAAAGGCGGGCACAGGAGGGCGCGGGAAGGCGGCGCCGGGGAGCCGCAGGGCGCCACTCACCACGGTCGAACTTCTTCCCCTCGGGGTCGATGTCCTTCACGTCAAAGATGTCCTCGAAGAGGATCCCGGCCATGGCAGCGGCCCCACTCCTCCGCGCGGCGCGCACCCACCGCCACCGCGCAGGCGCCCTGCCGCCGTGGGGCGGAAGTAGCCTCAGGACGCACGGGGCGATTCCCGCGCCTGCGCGCTGCTGCCGACCGGCGGCGGGACTCCGCGCGGCCCTAGCGCCCTCTGGTCCCGGTGCCGCCGGTTTCCCCGCCGTGGGCTGCGCTGCGCGCCCTGCAGTTACGGCGTGGGGTGAGATGGGGGAGCGCTGCAGCGGAGCTGCATTGCAGGGCGGGGCAATGCACAGCAGCGGAGGGCTGCCAGGGCGCATGGCTCCCCCGCTCGGGTGCCCTTGCGGAAGGTGTCGGCAGGGGGAGCTGCGAGGCCGCGGATGGCTCCGCGCTTCGAAGCCCCCGTCCGACAGCCCCGAGGCGTGGGACAGCAGGGCCTCACCCGGCACTCCGCGGATGCAGCATCAGTGTCATGAGCTGCGCAGACTCAACTAGCGACGAGGCCGCGGGGCTGCAGCCTGCGCCCGCTCCTTCCCCTTCTCACGACGGCTTTTTGGGGGGAGGGAGGGGAGGTGGCCTCTGGCAGGGGGAGGTGCGGTGGCCGCCACCCGTGTCCTGCCGATGAACCGTGAGGGGAGCCGGCCTCTGGCAGGACTGGGGTCGGCTTACACCGGTGCTCGCACGCCTGGCATCTGGTGGGGAGCCGACGGAGCAGGGTCGAGAGTTCATCCCTGCCATCCCCTCCCCCCCCCTTCTGGCACCTCGATGCCACCGCCTGCCTGCCTTAGCTGGGTTTTCCTGGCTCGGGTGGGATGTGGCAGCTGGGACCCTGTGCCCCATTTGAGCAGGGGTTGCCCGCCTGGACGTGGCATAGATGGGGCTGGCATGGAGGTGGCGGGTGGTGTCCTGGTGTGACAGGGACCGGGGAAGGTGGGTGGCACAGCGCTGTCCATGCGGCACATGGCAGCAGCTCACTGGGGACCACGAGGCCGTGAGCATAAACATCCATGGGACATGGGTCTCCATGTGTGGCCTTGGTGTCTGCAGTGCATGCTAACCCTGGGAGCCAGGCATCTCCGGGACATGGCTTGGGGTGGCACCCAAAGCCGAGGTGTCTCCAGCATCCGCACTGGGATGCCTGCTGCAGGATGTCTGTGGTACCCAGACCCAGCCGGTGTGACCTCTACACAGTGTGTGTCCCCCGTGACACAGGGTCCCCCTGACTCGGTGCCAGCACACCCCTCACGTGTGCGTGCAGTGCAGGCAGTGGGATGGGGCAGGGTGGTGACGTGTTGGAGATGGTGGTGTGACGGGGGTGCTGGTGCGAGGGGCTAGGGGCCCCTGGAGGGGGTACACGGGAGGTTCACGGAGGGGTCACCCCGCGGCAGTGGTGCTCAGCAGGGACAGCCTTAATGCGCTGCGACATAGCCTCGGCTCCTTCTAATCATCGCCTGGGCGAGCGACCCCCCCAGCCCCACGCCCCCTTCCCACTCTGCCCACCCAGGCACAAACCCATCTGCCACAGTATGGGGGACATGCCCAGGCACCCAATTTGACAGTGCAGGGCATGGGGTGTGGACCTCCCAAAAGTTCCCTATGCCCCCCCTGCCATCCTGGACCCTGGGGTGCCCCTGCTTGCTATGGGAAGTGCGGGGCTGTGCTGTGGGGTCATGGGCATCCCTGCGTGGGACGCCGCGAGGGGGATCCGCGGCTGTGCACGCTGCCAGGGGGTGGCAGCAGCACACCGAGCATGGCAGAGCGCCCCCAGGGTGGTCCGGAGGGGAGACCCCTGCCCCGGCCAGGCTCACCAGTCCGACCAGTTGGCCCCTCCAGCACCCCCAAGATGCCATCCTGGAGGGATGTGACCGATCAGGCCGGGGCCAGCCGGCCGGGGCCCATGTACCAGCCCTGAGTGTGCTCAAGAGTACCCCTGGGAGCCCAGTGCGATTCAGGCAGGGAGGCCCTGGCACAGCCATGCTTGGACGCTGTCAAGGCCAGAGCGGGGTGACACACAAAGGGCTTATCCCACCCGGCAGTCCCTTCCTGCCCCTGCTGAGGCCTGGCAGGCCCAGCGCAGGCCGGTGGGCAGCCGGGGCTGTGCTCACCAGCCGGCGATGCTGCTACCCGCAGACCCTGCCAGCCGGCAGTGCCGTCTGCCTCCCTGCCCTTGCGGGACCGCGCACACCTGAGCCCCGACCCCGAGCGCCCACGGGCACGGCCCCTTGCAGGGGTCACTGGCACGCAGCCACCCGCAAGGCCAGCTGGCTGGGGGCAGATTTCCAGGTGCCCTCCAGATGCCACGGTGGCAGCAGGAGCCTGGCACAGCCCTGAACATCCGGGCATTGGCCGTGCAGCACGGCCATGGTGCCAAGCCCCCTCCTTGGCCCCACAGGCAGCCCATGGGGCAGGATCAGACAGGGGGCTGGCCCTGGCATAAATCCAGCCGGGATTGGCAGAGGATGGGGTACCCTACTTTTCCCTGCACTATAACCCCAACTACTGCCACTCTGCCTGTGTGCTGGCTGCCTTGCTGACCCCGTGTCATGCTGTGCCATGTCATGCGGTGCTGTGCCACAGGAGTGTGGGTGGTCAGAGGGACTGACTAATGCCAGGCTAATGCCAGCCCTGTGCTGCTGGGTGGGGAGCAGATGGTCCTGGGGTGGGTGCAGGGGGGTCAGCATGGCCTTTGGTGCTGTTGCCTGGGGAGCACCCATTTGCCAGCCAGGTGCCTGGCGTCGCCTCCTTATCTGGGATTAAACAAACCCTTCCCAGATCCGGCGCCAGGCGCTGCCCCTGTACCCACAAGACCAGTCCTCCCCTACCTTGGGCTCCCCCCGTGCCTTCTTCCCCCCCCCATGCTGGGTTGCAGAGGCACCCAGGCCATGAGTCCCTGGGGTGATGGGCCATCCAAAACCTAAACCCAGGTGGCCTGGATCTGGTCCTGCCTTAGACACTGTGGTCTCTGAACATCAGAGCAGCCAGGGAAGGCATGCTTGGGAAGAGGGAGCATCCAGCCAGTGCCTCCAAAGCAGGGCACAGGGTGACACTGTCTGCCCCTGCCTTGGGGCAATCCCGAAACCTCCCAGTGCAAAATGGGACCCACTGGGGTGTTCCCCTGTCCTGCCATGGCCAGGGAAGTGCCCATGCCCTCAGTGTGATGGATCCTGGCAGCCCTGGTAGCTGTGGTGCCTGTCTCCTTGGAGTGGGGGTGCAGTTCTCTCCCTCCCTCCCTCCCCCCGCCGCCCGCCCTTAGCTGTTATCTCCTTCCGATAAATTATACAACTGTGCTCCTTTGAAATGCAGCCAGGCCTCCATCCGGTGGGGCAGCCTTTCAGTGCTCAATATCAGCCATTTCTGGGCTGCCTCCAGCCGCCTTTGCTGGGGAGGGGGATAGGGGTGTGGGTTTGGGCACTGACCTGGTAGGGGAGTGCTGGGGATGGGCTCCTGGGCTGCAGTGTGACCCTGCGGGCAAAAGCAGAGGAACAGTGGGGCTGTAAAACCTGCCTGCACCTCTGCACTCCATGCCCACACACACTGCTTGCAGCCCTGCCAGTACTGCCACCCATCCCTGCTGCCATTCCTACCCATACTCCTTGCATGCACCCAAGGCTCTGCCTGCCTCTCTGCCTGCATCCCTTGCCTATACCCCACATGCCTGGTGCCCAGTTGGGGTGTCAGCAGTGCCCGGCTGCCAGCCGGTGCTTCAGAGGCAGTGGTGGACCCTGTTATCTGCCAGAACAAAGGAGCCGAACTGCCACAGCCGTTGCGGATACGAGAGCAAACAAGAGTAGGGTGAGGCCAGAGGGTGGGCAGCTGCCGGCACCTGCAGCACCCGTTTCGGTGGCATCACTGCTGGCAGCAGGGTGAGGGGCAGGGTGGCACTGTCCCCATGCCCAGGGATGGGGGTCCCTCCTATGCACCCTGGTGTCGGGAAGCCAAGGCCACGAGGGCTGCCTAGGGCAGGGCTGCCTGCCTATGTGTGTTGTACACATGTGTGTGCACACATGTACTCTCCCACCAGTTCTGTGGGTGCCCCCATGGGGTCCAGCAATGGGGTGCACTGGCCTCGAGATGTCCATCCCTGCACCCTGCTGAGTTTGTCCCCACCTGGACTGGGGGTTGGCAGGAAGAGACTGAGCCGAAATTAAGCTGTTAATGAGCCTGTCTGTCACCAATCCACCAATTACTCAGGCTGGGAATGAGGAGATGATGAAGGCTGGCATGGCTGGGGGAGGGAAGCAGGATGTTGGGGTCCACAGCTTAGGGGCAGCTCAGAGGTGTCATCACGTCTGGACAGCTTCCCCACCACCACCTACCACTGGCCCTCCTGGGGCCAGCAATCATGTCCGGCACTGTGGGGAGCAGAGGGGACAAAGGGGTGGCAGGGTCACAGCCATACCAGGAGCCCTGGGGGACCTGGGTAGGGATTAGCCCCTTCTCCCCATGCTGAAGCCCTGGGTACAAAAATGAGGTTCTGGGGAAATAAACCCCAACCACTGTCCCTGTCTGACACAGGGGGTGTCACCAGTGTCATGAGCTGGCTGTTCTCTGCACTTGGGTCATGGAGGGGCACATGGGAACAGAGAGAGTACCCCGGGGGTGCTCCCAGGCCCTCTGGCTGCTCCTGGGAAGTGGTACAGCAAAGAAGGGGATTTATACGTGTGTCCCTCTGCATTGCCCTGCTCAAGGCTGCCGTGGTGCATGGTGGAGGCCCTTGTCCCTGTCCCCAGCTGGGATGGGCCAGGGTGGCCAAATTCCTTTGGGCTGATGCTGATGTCAGTTTTTCCGCGACACCTCTGTGGAGTGGGGCTGGGTGCCTTGTGGGGCTGGCGGAGGACAGGCCATCTCCCCAGCTGTCATCGCACCCGCCTGTCCCCGCGATGGCCCTTTGTGGCACTGGAGGACCTGGGGATTGTCGGAGCCTGGGCTTGGAGCCTGCTCCCTCATGGTGGCAAGGGGCTCTGTGCTGGGCATCGGCAGCATCTGGCAGCACATGCCATGCCCCTGCCAGCCCCAATGAGCTGGACCCAGCTGAGCCGGGGGGCAGGCTAGGATTAGAGCATGGGGGTTTCA